GCATGTCTTATTAACACCCTTCAGCAGAGCAGCCCACTCTGTGTGTGAAACAGAGTCAGGCAAGGCTGTCAGAACAGCCAGAGCCACCTTTGCACTTCTGAGGGGCACGGGGGTGCCAACACTGTGAATAGCTCCCAGCACTTCCCTCACATCCATCTTATTCTGGCTTTGTAATGTGCTGACATATCAGCTGACTCCATGGGACACGCAGTCCAGTCAGAGTATGATTCCATGACAATTTAGTTCAGGTTTTTAGAGTTCATGTAGCCAGACAATAATAAAAGGCATAACATGCAGGCATGTGGAAAAGCACCACAAATGCAGAAATGCTATACCTTTAGTACAGATCCACATTTAGAATGGCTGAACAGCTTATTCCTGCAGTTTTCCTTGCTTTTTATGTAATTATTGCTCATTTTTGTGCAGCAGTTAAGGACTGGCAGATGACACAGACTTCACTTTGAGTGAAATATAATCACTTACTGTAAAGTATGGTGCCAAGAAATGCCCTCAAACATTTAAACATATAAGCATATGAACATACATATGTATAAATTAATTTATAAATAAGACTAATTTATTGAACTCAAGGACTCTCTGGATGAAGCTGTTCAGCCTTTCAGAAGACACAACATGCCTCAAACCACTAGTTGAAATACCCATCTCTTTAACAACCTGCAGACCACACTGAGAAGTCACAATCACAGAACAGTTTGGGTTGGAAGGGACATTTAGAGGCCATCTAGTCCAACCCCCTGCAATGAGAAGGGGTGTGTTGAAATAGCTAATTGAGTCTTCAACTACCTAACTCAGCTTCATCAGAGCCCCATCCAACTTGACCTTAAATTTCCACCACACCCATGCCAGAGTTTCACCACTGTCACCATAAAAAATTGCTTATTTATATCTAGTCTGAATCTACCCTCTTTTGTTTCACACTCATGCCCCTTGTCCTATTGCTACAAACCCCATTAAAAGTCTGCCCCAGTCTTTCATAAAAGCCCCCTTTAAGCAAAGAAGGCTTCAATAAGGTCTCCCAGGAGTGCTCTCCAGGCTAAACAACCCCAACTTTCTCAGCCTTTCCTCAGAGGAAGTATATTCCAACTTTCTGATCATTTTATGAATAAACTCATATCTCCCTGCACAAACTCAATTTCCTGTATGTTCCTTTTCCCCAACAGCATTTCATTCTGAAGCTATTTCTGGCACAAATCAGTTTGGTTGGCCTTAGGGTGACTCTTGTGGGTGCCACTGGCAGTTTTCCTAAGCATTCCTTACCCCTTATTCTGGTAGTATTTGCTGATTTATTTCTGTAAAGATAATGCATACACTAGCAGACAGTTCTGTAATAATCATGTCTCAGCAGTTGTCTTTGGTCACCAGTAATGAGAAGAAAGGGATGAGCTTGAGAAAATGCTCTAATTAGTTCCTGCAGATCAGAGCAGTTCTCAGCTGAAATAAGCCATGTGTCTTCCAAGAGCTAATGTCACTGCACTTAAAAGTGGGGGTTTCTGGAGGAAAGAAATTGCAGAATGTTTTAATGGACAAGCCAAAATAATTTTGTTATGCAAAACAAACAAACTGCAGTAGACGGAGGGGAGGAAGTTCAGGGTTTGTATCTGAAAATCTCAAAATCAAATATGCTTGTATTTATGTATTTATGTTATGTATTTATAGCTCATTTTTAGTTTGCTGTGATCTGTGATCTTTGGCTGTTTTCAGACTGGGTTTCTTAAGCTGTTTGCAAAAAATTTCCTTTTGTTTATTTAATCCTCAATTTCTGGTTCAAACATCACTCCCTCTCACTGGATTTGAACTAAGTGAAATGACCCACTCTTTCTTTCATTAGTAGTTTCCTGCAAATCTTGACATGTTTGCAAAGGTTCCATGAATTTATTGTGCAAGCAACTGCGAGCAAAGACAATTTTTCTGTGTGAGCACAGTGAAATTTCACCAGGAGCAAGCTGCAGATGGTTTTCCCTGAGACAGCTTGCCATTTGTTAGAGGAAACAGTTTGAAGCTTCTGAAATTCACTTCTTCCAGGAGCAGCTGCCCGAGTCCCCTGTGCATGGGGTGGTGAGCAAGGCAGGTGTGTGTGCATTGCTGCCATCCCTGCCCACCCTCGTCTCCCGTGCCCTCACTTTAATTTACCTCCCCATGCCCTCTTCAGACAGAAGGGAAGCACAACAGTGGCTTTCCCTGCCCAGATATTTCTTGGCACACATTTTCCACTTTCCTTCAGGGCTCTTTCCCCTCTCTCTTACCATAAGAGTGAGTTGTCAGTCAAACAAGGATCATCTATGCCAGTACATTGGCACTTGGCAAAAAACAATACCTGGGAAGGAGTAATGACTCTAAAATTGAACTCTTGCTGGGAAATATTTTTTCTGATATTTGGTTGAATGTTTTGCTGTTTCTGTTTAGCCTGGTTGAGATTGGGTTATAAAGTTTGGACATAATAATCTTTTTTCATCCAGGCAAGTGGATACTCCCTGGATTTGAACAAATACCTGAATTCTGAAATTCTCCTTTCTTGTGAAACTTGACACAAGAACTGATATCCTAAACAGTTTAGCTCACATAGAGTTAAAGCTAGAAGATTAGAATGAGTATCTCTAAAGTCCTTAATTTTTTTCTGGATGTTTATAACTACAAGACAAAATTTCCTGACTAAATGGGAATGAAGGCTATCAGCTACAGCTTACCAATTTATACTGATAGCACATCACTGTATTTATTATCCAGCCTTACAGAGAGCATTCAGTTCACTTGACAGGGAATAAAGCCAGATGCACTGTCTTCTGTTGAAGTTATGAGTGTTAAAAAGTACATCCTTAAAAAGAAAACTAGTGAATGTTTTTTGCATGTTCACCAGTTTGCTGCAGTCTTGTATTACTTGTGAAACATATGTGATGGCATTTCTGGGACAATCCTGCATTCAAAAAACTTGGCATTTCCTTCTTCTTGAAGAGGCACATCCACTGCTGACATTACCAATGATGCATAAACCAGCAATGATAAATTAGACGTTAATTACATTTCCCAGCCTAACTCTGATTGTTTTGAGAGACACCTCAATTTCTTCAGCTGTTCCTGGAGCATCTTTGTATTTGTGTCTACAGTCTGTGTGTGTGTAGCTCCAAATCAAAGCTGATGAAGGTAGGAGGAATATAGAAAGATGGAAGAGTAATGTTTACAGGAAAAGAGCTGAGAAAAGGAGATTTTCACTTATCTGGACAGGTGGATTGCTGTGGATGGCAATATTTGATGGAAGACCCATGCAAATGTCAGGCAGGAAAGCAATACATTCTGACAGCTATCAGAGATCTAACAGAAAGATGCCTCTGAACAGTAAAGTGAAGATCTACAGCAGCACACACCTTCAGTGCTTTCTGTGGAGTGGAGATGTGGCAGGTAAGACAGAGTAGAATTGGATGCTTTGGTACAACATTTCTAAAATCTTTCTGGAAATGGAAAGCAAGGAGGGAAATTGTTAAGCAGACTTTTTGCAGATCTGCCACCAAGATATTTGAGCCAGACAGAAAAAAAAAAAAGGATACAATTTCTAGTGAATTTATTGCTTTTCTGTATTACTCAAAGCTTGAATAAGCAAGTTGTCAACTGTAGCTCACAGGGACAGTGAAGAAAAATGGAAGACAAGGCTATGACAGGTTGGGGTGTTGGGACTGAATACAGAAAGGAAGAACATCTGTGAGCTGAATTTGAACAGATTCCAGGCAGCTGAGATGCAAACATGTCACTCCCAGTCTCTCTGCACAAAGGAACTTACATGGTCAAAAATCATCTGGTCACACAGAAAAGGGAATACTGCAGAATGGTTTGAAGAGGTTCAGTGTCATGACCTTTCTACTTGGGAAGAGTGAAAGAGATATAGTAACTCAAATAACCACTGTTCCTACTGCTGCAGTCATTCTTGTGTGAAAAAATAAATCAAGATTCGTGCTTATCATTCTGGATAACAGTTTATATTCTAGTTGGAAGGCGTCTGTAAATTGATCATGCTCCTAAGACCTTATCTCCTTGTTTAGCCCCTGCTCCCAGGTAAGTGAGAGATGATGCAAAGCATTCCCTGCAGCTTGCAGAGGAGCAGAGCCTGCTTTCCCAAGTGTAGGAAGAGGGCAGTGTTTCTTTCAGTTCTTTCAGTTCTAAGCTTGCCTTTTCAAGGAGAAAGGGGCACTATGAGTGAGATATCTAAGATGCTAATTTGGAGGAGGATTTTTATCCCAAGTAGAGATGCTTCAGATGGGATAAACCAGAAATTCTCAGTCTTGCCCACACAGGGAAATATCAGAACCACAGATTTAAGGGAGAAAGCATGTACCTATCTTAGGTGTGTTTCCTGGCACTCAATTTTTATACCTACATAAATTTCTGGTCACTTTGTGAGTAACTGTTTGCATCCACCCATCTGACTAACCTTTGCAAAACTCTTACCTACAGGTGCAGCCAGGAGAATAATTATTTAGAGCAGCATCAATTCTTTTCAGCTTAGCCATGAATGGGTATTGTGTCAATAGTAAGATACAGCTTATACCTTGCTACTGGATTATATCAGATTTAAGTTACTCAGGGATATAGCCTCAAAGTCTGTGAGTGTTTGAAAAACTGATTCTAGGTATAGTGTTGTGTTCCACCTCAGTTTCCACCACTAGACATCCAGGGTATTTGGTAATATGAATCTCAAAACGTGAATATTTTTTTTTCCCCATTTATTCTTGAAGCTCTTCTCTTTTAAAATGCCATGCTAAGCAGAGGTTTCTGGCTAGTTTTTTTGTTAGGTGAGCTAGCATGTTATTTATATCACTTTATCCTGCTCCCCTGTCCATCTAAATCATCCCCGACTTAAATATCAGACATAAATAGTGTATTTTTATAGCATGAAATAGGAATGATTGCTATCTGGCCAAGTGGAACTGAAATAAAACCCCACAGTTTGTGCTAATAGCTTCAGAGTGTGTCCTGAGGGCTGCTAAGCCACTGCCGTTCTATTGATTTCAAGATATTGCATACAAGTTCTTAAAATGTGTTATTAAATAGGATTTTCTCCTGTTATTTGCCATGAGTAGAATGTGAAACACCCCCCAAAAAGCCACGGTGGAGGGGCAGCTGAGGAGGCAGGTGAGTGCCACTCGAGTCACTGTGCTGCTGACGATGCCACCTCCCTGCAACAGGGCTGGCTTTGTCTGAAGCACAGCCACAGCAGCTCACAGGTGAGCCTCTCAATTTTTTTGCATGCCAAGTTCATCCTCCTTTGACTCTTTATTGAGAATTTTAATCCTGCAATTTAATGGGAATGAATTTCAGCCACTGGCTTTTTGCATCGCTTTCTAATAGCTGTAAAATTGCCCAGGTTCTTTGGAAATTGCCCAAGAAGCATGAACTACAACAAACCTTTGGAAAATATTGTTATATATTCCAGATGCTCTTAGGAGCATTTCCAACAGCCTTCAGTGATAAAGGCTGGAAGCTTTCCAAAGCTGGTAAATGCATCTAATTCCCTCCAGGTCCAATAGCTACCACAAGCTCCCTTGGAGCCTTCAGCCAGGAGCAGGCTGTACTTTTGCTGGGTAGCTCAGACTTTCCTTTAGCAGATTATCAGATTGTAATCATGTTAGCAGTGAATTTTACATTAAAGCAATCCCAAAAATACTACCAATCACTTTAAGTTTATGAACCGCATCTCTCAGAAATGAACCTGAGTAACAGGAATTGTGTGAGAGTCAGATAATCCTCCCAGCTGCAGAGAACTCTTCTAGCAATTGTTTTAAGATGTTATTGTGGGATGAAAGCACTGCTTTAGCTGTCCAACAGTTATAAATGGGGCTTTTTCTTACACAGCACTTCTTTTTCTGGCAATCACCTGATCAACTGTGTATTTTAATCTGATGCTGTAATGGTCTACCTCAGATTTTCTCTTACTGCTTTTCAGCCCAGAGGCATTTTATATCATTTACTTGCATTCCCTATTACTTCCCTATTGTGCATTCCCCATTATGATGATCTCTGTTGTTTTGAATGGTACTTGATCTTAAAAATACTGCAATTATTTTAGCCACATGAATTTCAGCCTTGATGTGGTGCAGAGCAGGATTGCTATTTTGTCTAATAGCAGGTTTTCTATGTTAAATCCTTTCCTTTGACCTGTGCCACAGAAGATTCAAAGCTAATAGCTGGAGAATGTTTGGAAATGAGCCCACAACTGGCTGTATCCAAGCTATAAATGCTCACCAAGTCCACCTGCCCAGTCAAGGCATGGCTGGGGACAGTAATATTATCTCTGACAGCTAAATCCAATTGGAATAGCTGTGGGGAAAACCAAGAGCAAATATCTGCTCAGCTTCAGAGCTCAGCTAAGCTGTAGCTGCCAATCTTGAGTCTTTTTTCAATGGGTAAGACAACCTAGGCAGACACAGGTTTGTGTATGGACAAGTCCATAAAGGCTTCCCCAGTCACCTGAGGGATTAAATTTGGATTGCAAGTGCACCTAGACCTTCCAGCTCTTTATCTGATCCTGAATGACATCTTTTCCTTCTCTTTGCAGGGATAGGAGAACAATTTATGAAAGATTGCTAAACTCATTCATTTTCTGAGTGCATTAAGTGCACCAATCTCAGGTTATGTAACAGACCAAAGAGAAAACAAGTGAGTCTAGTGGCCATCCAGTTATCCCCACTGTGGTGAGCTTACATCCATGTGACAGGTGACAGGCTGGGGCAGTGGCCTCTTGACAAGACAGAACCCATCCTGCAGTGTGGGGCACAGTCCCACGGTTTACACTGATGGCTTGGGAACCTGAGCATCCATGTACACAAACATCCAAACCTGGAATCCACAAGGAATTATTTCCAAGTCATGGGTTGAGATCAGTTTTTTTTCTAAAGGTTTTTATCTCTGTGGTTCTACGTGAGATTGTGGAGAGGTTTTCTTACTCCAGATCCAGTTCTGTCAGAGATTTCAGGACAATAAGAGAACCTGGCTCTAGTCTCATACAGATGCATTCTTAATCTCTCCTTTCTAGGAGAACTCTAAAAGTCACTAAATGTTAGAAAACCAATGATGAAGACAGATCTTTCAGTAAAACTTTTAAGAGATTTTTTGCTTTCACCTGCTTGCAATAACTCATTGTGCATGGATTATTAGACTTCAAAGCTGTGTTCTCTGCTCATGATTTAGGTTTTAAATATGGGCAGGCTTCAAAATGGAGTGTTAGACTGCATTAACAATGTTTTTCATCACACAAACTCTAAATTTTGTGTGTAAAACTATATTTTCTTTCAATTTTTCTTCAGTGTTTGTGGTGACTGTAATGTCACCATCTGTTCAAGAAGAAATAGCTCAGATGTGTCAGAGACATTAATGCCATGTAATGTTCCAAAATTTCACATTATGATAAATCTATTTGTTTTCATTTAATATATGTCTATACTAGTTATTGTTTGTAGTCAGAATGCCCAGCTACAGGTGTTATAAGTGGGAAACTTGAGACTGATTGGACACTGGAGGTGAAATCTTCCAGGGAAGTTGAAAGCAGATTTTCTTCTGACTTCAGTTTGCAATGTTTCTGAAATTAGTTCTAAAAATTACCTGCTTATTTTGGGCCTCTTTAATAAAACCCTTCAGTTCAGAACACACATTGCCTTAGCTGATCATGTTGTGTTCAGTCCAGACCTGCATTTCAGCTGTAGCAATCATCAGCCTTGATGCTTTAGTGAGCAGGATGCTTTTATTTTATCCTTGTTTGAGACAGTCTGCCAAAGACAGGATTACATCAGGTGTAATATTTGCCAGTAATCTCCTCACTAGAGGCTGTCATTGGTTGTCATTCTCCTTCAAGAAACAGTTTGAATTTAAGTTTTAAATTTGATTTACCAAAATGGCCAAGCACTGGATAGATAAAGATTTTACTAAACTAGCTAGGTAATAAATCTGCTTAATCTCACTCTAACATAAACCAGCCATCAAGTTTGTCAATGTATCAATTTTCCTTTGGGCAACCAAGCCATTTTCTGGGAGTGCTATCTGAGTAGGAATGGATGTACCCTGATATATTGAAATAGCTCCTCAGTTGTGTCTACAGCAGCTTCAGCAGCCAGCCAGTGTAAGGATCCTGACACATGCTTCAGGACATTATTTGAAGAAATAGTTATGTTTTAGAGAAATTTGTCTCACTTTGAAGAAGAATCAGTGCAACAGAAATATTCATTGTTTCTACCTGGGCAGGAGGGCTGGCACATCCCTGGCAGAAGGCAGCAGGTGGGGTTCAAACAGCTTGTGCAGCTTGGAGGTCAGGAGTTCTCCAGAGATACTGCATCATGGAAGATTTTGTCAGTTCAGCAATTCCTTTATTTAAACAAAAAATCAAAGGAAAAAAACCATAATAACAATGCTAATAAAGTGGAAATCTGTGCAAGTTGTGGTATGTAAAGTTCAAGCTGAAATCTGAAGCACGCTTCAGCAGTTTACATTAAATGTAATATTTCAAACTCAGATACTTTAGTATTGCTACAAAATGAAAGTAGGAGATAATAATCTTTAAAATCCCTAAGGCTGCTTTTTTTTTTTTTTTTTTTTTTTTAAAAATTTTAACCAGGACCTTAAACCAATCAAAATCAGTACAAGAAAATGGGTAAGAAGGGCTTTAGGCATGTATAAAACAACCCAAAAATCATAGTGACAAATCTCCTGCAATGGACAGGATCAGATGATACATGCAGCCCTGTCAAAATCCTTTTTTACACTGACTTAAATGAGTCTCTGGGCGTGTGAACTCAAGCATGTGAAGAAGCGAGAAAACATTTCTGGAGGAGTTTAGTTTCTTCATGACCTGTTGAGTTTGTTCTCTTAGCTCACTTCAGCATAAGATACTCACAGCTGTCTCAGGTACAAAGTAACAGGTGCTGAAAAAACACAGAGTAATTACAGAGAAGGCAAGAGCAGAGGTCAGAACTCTACCTTTAAAATAGCTTTGTCTCCTGTCATGCTGTCAGTCATCTCTCGAGTGGTGGCTGGTACCTAAGACCAGAAGGACTGCAGAAAAAGTATAATGGTGTAAACCAATTGCTCCCTCATGTAAAAAGGGGAAAAATAGTGTTTGACCCCTGTGAGCTGACTGGCGTATGTCTGGAAGTGTGAGATTTAATTAAACAGATGGTAGCATACATTACTGCTTTAGAAATGTGATTAATCATTATAAATGTTCTAGGTCCTTTAAAAGAATGACTAGAGCATCTGGCTATGCACACTGAAACAGTGAACACCCACCTGACAGGAATCCATCTCCATAAGGTAGATGATACTTGTGTTTATGTTAATTATTTGGAATTTTTATGCTTCAGTTGAACGAACGAGTTCTGGCACATTCTTTTAAATGAGGCAGATTCATTCTGATGTTAGACTGCATTTAGATTCTACCTACTGGTGAATTCTAGCATCAACAAAAAAGCATGAAGTTAAAAAATCCAAACTTAACCCAGCAGTTTTCAAAGATGCTAAGCTGAAATTTGAGATAGAATTTCACACTCTTTTCTAAACAGCTCTCATGTTACACACACATGGGACCCAGCTTTATCAGAAGTCAGTGATCAGAATTGCTGCCTGGCTGAAGTTGTCTCATGTTCATGTATGTGATCCTATCACTGCTAACCAGAGCCCAGGTATCTTAGGAGTTGTTCCACATGCAGGTCCTTGGCAGTGCCTGTCCCCTTGCATGAGCACAGGGAGAGCTTGGCTGGGGCTGGTCAGCTCCTTCTGGGTGCCTTTGTAACAAGCCTGGTGATTTATTTGCTTCAAATAGATATTATATTTTTTAGCCTTCTATATTTATCCACGTTCTGTCATTTAGTTCCATCTGCTGTACATGGGGAAATGGAGTCTTTATTTTAGAATCCAAACTGCTGTCAGCTCGAGGCTCTCAGAGACTGGCAGTGCTGAGAGCTGGACAGGACCCCTGTTTTCAGTCTGTTCTCTGTTTTCAGCCTGGAATCATGCATTCTAAGATTCCTTTCTATGAATCTTTGCCTCTTAAATTCATTTTTGCTCTCCAGTTGCACATTGCTGGCTGATATCCAAAGTGCACATCAGCCATGCAGGAGGTGTTTGGTGCCTTGCAGGGTGGGGAGATGCCCATGCAGCTCTCTGGGATTCCTCTGCTTGGGAATATTTTAATAATGCTCAGAGAAATAAGAGGTGAGACAACCCTGAGAGTGAATTA